AATTCTTTCTTGAATTATCTTAGTTTCAATGTGACTGATACCTGAAGATGCCTCTAATTCCAGTGTAATCCCTGAGCAGTGCAGTTAAAACCTTGAGCAAGCTCAGATGCTCAGTTTGGTTTAACAGTGACCTCTGCAGAGGCTGTTACCTCAGTCCCACCATAATTTGCTGTTTGTGCCTCGCTTTGTTAACAAATGCCTACGGTGCTTTCTGGTGTGTTTCAGTGTGAACTTGCTGCCCATTCAATAAATGCATCAGAGCTGACAAAACACATGGAATTTGCAGTAAGTCAGGAGCGTGAGGGTCACAGAGAAGTTCATTTGCCTTTTCACAGTCTGGCTTCAGTGAATCGATGCAGAGAGACCTGGATGTGAGTTCATTGCTCCAAAATGGTTGTATTTAAGTAGGGAGTGGCCAGGAGCACCAAGAATGCTGCATCACTCCAGAGCTCTGTAAAGTGAGTGCATGAGGGCTTCCAAATCCATCCTTCTGGTTTAGCAACTTGTGATTGTACAGGATTGGCTTTGAAGCTGAGTGAGACTTTTACAGTGGATATTGTGTGCTCTGGAATATTTCATTGTAAATGTAATCCATTGCTTGCGGAGTGGTTATTCAGACTATTTGGATGCCCAGTAAGAAATTTCTCCAATAGACCCAGAATGCAGCAGAGGGGGAGTCAGGATTAGGAATATTTTTGTTCAAGGATTCAGCTTCTCTTGTGCCCCCTTCCTCCAGAATTGTTCCTGTGAGGATGATGGTGGGCATGTCCCAGTCTGGTCAGTTTGTGCACCTGCTGTGCATTAATTACTTCCCTCAGAATCTTCCACAAGTTTGTCTCTGATCTTGCTCATTCTTGCACTCAAAGAAATATTCTCCACGAGGTAGCAAAAAGCAGTGTATGGAGAAGGCATTGATTTTGTTCAAAGCCAAAATGGGATTGTATTTTTAAATCAATATGAATTTCAAAAGCTTATCAATTCAACTAAAACTATTCAGTGATTTTGTAAATATATATGCTCACTTCTTACAGGAGTGTAATAACAGTCCAGGAGACTGCAAATACAACTTTTGGAGCTGTAGGAATTAGATCTGAATCATGGAGAACATGTTTGTGTGCTTTAGTTTTAAGACTGCAATAATTTTAGGAGTTGTGTTCATAACTGTGTAGGGTCAGAGTTCTTGGACTAACTCGTGGACTGGAGGGGAAATCTTTCCAGGTTCAAAATTCCAAGTTACTTTCTCTAAACTCCAGATATTTGAGGAATGATTCGTGAGCTCCCTCAAGCTTGGCATCAGCAGTTGGACAACAAGTATGAAACAGGTATTTAAGAAATGCTGTTCAGGCAGAGATTTCAAACATTGCTTCTTGTGCTGAGTTTGTTTTTCCCTCAGGAAGGTGAACTTCATCATGGTGGTCTCAGGAATATATTTTCCATTTAGCTTTTCACAAAAGGATTTTCTGTTTTATTTTGGTCATTTTACTTTTCTTCATGGTATGGAAATTTGTTTTCTAGGTGCTTATTACTGACTGCCACAGGGGTTGCATATGATGGTGTCATCTTATAGGGCCCTGTGAGATTTTTCAGCAGTTATCTGTTCTACAAACCCTTTTTAGAATATTTACTCTTTATCTTTTAGTGTGACTGGTTAGATGTGTTTTGCAAAGCACCTCTGTGCTCAGCACAATTAACAAATCAAGTGATCTCTTTTTGAGCTTGGAAATGCATTGGCATTGCAAGGCATTTTCCAGCAGTATTGATTCTGTTAATGGTGTTAACTAAGTTAAATATTAATCTTTTTAATTTGAAGTGTTTTGAAGATCTAGGAAAAGCTGGACTTAATTATCTTAGAGGTCTTTTCCAACCTAAACTATTCTGTGATTCCACTGGTACTCCTAAGTTCTTGCCATGACTACAGGGTTAAGTAGTGAGCTGAGGCTTTTCCTGTGTTCTTATTTAATTCTTTTTTGAGTCCTGTTTGTTGAAAATAGTCTTGAAAGGAATGTTGGACAGCTGCTTTCTTTTTTATTATAGGAATTCCTTTTTTGACAGTTGGAAAATATCTGCTTTTGTAATTATGCGGCTACATTTTATTTATTTATTTTTAATATTAGTTTGCCAACAGAATTCTTATCTATTATCACATACCACATTAGTAGGATTTATTTACTTAAACAAGTGGTTCCCAGCCTGTTGCTTGATCCATGCAATACTTAGAGGTCTTTAAAAGGTAAATAAGAATAAGGATATCATTAATCAGTTAAAATTCATATTGTGTGTAGTCATATATTTCCAATAATGGCACAAGTGCAAAGCCTGTGCTTAAAATCTCTTTTTTTGCTCAGTTTTGTAACTGGTAGAACACTTCAGTGGAATATATTATTAGAGGTTTTCTGGACCTTTGATTAACTTCCTGACAGGATATTCTGGGACACAGTAATATTTTTGCCTATTGATTATAAGGATCCTTTTTCAAGAGAGCTGAGATGGATTCAAGGGAGGAAAGAACAAATTGAGACAAGCACTGAGCTGCTGCCTTTTATGAGAGCTGAAGTGAGATCATTGACATCTGGAGCCTGTTAGGATATGTTGGAGTGTGTAATGCTTAAAATCACTTGATGCAAATTTATGTGTTTTATGAGCTCCATTAGGCAATGGTGCTCCAAAGGCCCTGTCCCTAAGACCAAAATTTGCATTTTAACTATTGCAGTGAGGCAGTCAGTTATCAAAAAGTGTTGCCTATAATCTTAGCTTTTCTTTAGTCTGAATTAAGCTGCAATTTCAGTAACTCTGAAACCAGGACAGGAGGGATTGTGTTACTTCTGGCCTAGTTGAAGGCCTATGTGTTGAGAAAAGCAAATGACACAGCAGATACATAACCCATGACTGTGGAGAGCAAGATTAAACTACCAATGAATAGCCTAAGCCAAGAAATGCAGGGGTAGAACATTCTAACTTTCTGTTGAGCGGAGGCTTGTTAACCATCTATTAATAAATAATTGACTGAAACTGGCAAAGTCTAATTTGGGTGCTAATGCAGTGTGTGTCCTTGCACAGGGCAGTTGTGGTGGGGCTGGAAAGGTCTTTGGGGGCTAAAAAGGAGGTGATGTATGGAAAAGAATGGCACAGTGCTGAGGAACAGTTCCAGCTTCCAGGCTTTAGGAGAAATCTTCTTTAAGTACTCCCCTTTCAAATTTCCATCAATTTGGTCTTTGGCACTGACTGTGAACTAAAAATGACTGACCATGATGCTTCCCCTATTTCTGTATTTGTACCAAATCCTTTTTTTATCTTGCATAGTTTTTGTGCTTCATGGATTTTGATGGGTTGAGGAAAGTAAGGGAGGTGAGCATGGAGATTCTGGAGTTGGAGAGGAGGGAACAGGGCCTGTAGCCTGAGGAAGGGAGCACATTTGCAAGAGAGAAAAGAAGGCGTTTCAGGCCCTTGGTGTGTAAGATCAAAGTGCAGTTTTAGAAGATTTCTAAAAGGAAGGATAGGGAAATAAGAGGTAGAGTCATAACTGCAGACAGGTGGGTGACAAACTTCTGGCAACACTAGAAAATAAATGGTTCAGAAATCTTCCCAGCACTTCATCATTTTGATGGAGCAGAACTTAAATTGTCAGCAAACACCATTACATCCAAGGTGGTAATTCATGCTTTTTAAAATATAACATTGTTGCAGGCTTAGGAAATGCCTTCAGTTTGTCAGGGTGGGTCTTGAAATAACACGAGGAATGTCTCACTTTGGTGTTTAGGTTCACAAAGCAGTGAATTGATTTTTAGGAACGCTGATTAATAATTCATAATACAGGAGGAATAAATCTTGGACTGGTACACAGAGACAGGATTGGTTTATTCTCCTGAGTTCTCCTTGCTGCAGCAGAGCTGTCTCTCCTGGCAGGTTTGTTTTACCTTTAACTGGGTGCTGAGCTCTCAGTTTGAGCCCCTGGGCACTGGGAGGCTGCAGCTGCCCAACTTTCTGTCCTGACAGGTGCCAGAGTGCTGAGCAAAGGGCAGGACTGGGACGTGCTTTGTAGTTCTTGTTGGACGTGTTCTGAGCAAACTCGCTGCATGCCCCTTTCCTTTTCCCCTTCAGGTTTTTGTTGAGGCGTGTGCTGCTGCTGTTGGTGTAGCTGTTCTGGCAGTGCCTCATGTAGAAGTCAGCACAAAGCCAAGCTGTGTTCACACAGAATAGTTTATTCCTTTGAAGAGAGGGGAGAGCAATCACCTTGAAGTTCGGCTTTGAATTCGCATTCGAGGTAAAAAAAAAAATACGCAGATTTTTCATTCGAGATGAAGAAGCCTTTCTGAAGCTTTTGTAATCAGAATGAAGATGCCTCCTGTGGCAAAACACAGTTCCCTGAAAAGCTTCGAGCTGGCTTCCAAGTTCTATCCTAGCAACGTTGGGAAGAGTCCCTCCTCTTAGCTGGGGCACTGGTGGGGACTGCGAGCCAGCGTATCTTGTGATCTGAGGTCACAGAGAGCTGAGGTGGCTCTTTGCTTTTCAGTTGTCATCATGTAACTCTTAAACAATTTAAGCTTTTCAGTTCCAACCTCTTTGAAACTTTACTCCTTTTATCCTGAAATTCCTGGCTGTCTTGATTTCTGTTGCTGTTATTTCTCTAGTCTCAAGTTGGTTTTGCTGGGATGTTGCAACACTGGGAAAAAATGTGACTGAAAGCAGTTGTGTGTGTGCAGCAGTTAAATCTATGTGTAATGTTAGCTATGCTGTTAAGGGCTTTGTTTTTCTTTCTTAAAATAACCTTTTCGTTTAAATCTCAAGATAAATACAGCAGCATTCAGCAAAGTGAGTTCTTTGGATGATTTAGGTTTTAATAGGAAATGGCCTTCAAAAGATGGGGAGCTGGAAATGCTGCTGGCTGCTACTGGAAAGCATTTTTTTATAATGCATTTTATACACAGATTGTGTATATATAGAAATCCCTCCTGCAGGAGTTAACACCGATCTTTGCTCATGCCTGATCTTTTTATATACAGGTTTATTCCAGAGTTGAAAAAGCTTGAACAATATATTTTCTCCATGTTTGGAAAAAGATAGTTGCTACAGACGAGGAGGATAATTGCAAAAAGATGAGTATGTTAAAACCAAGTGGACTGAAGGCTCCTTCAAAGACCATCAAGCACGGGAGTACATTGCTCAAAACCCCTGCACCTGTTGCTGCTGGTAAGGAATAGTTAAATGTCTTAATCATTTCCTCATTCATCTTCCAACAAAAAGTACCTTGAATGCTGTAGTATACACTATTTTTTCTCTTTACACCAATGTATTTTTCCTTGTATTTCTTATTTTAAAAAATTACATGTGGAACTTTCAAAAGAGCTAAAGGTTACTATTTGGAAATCAAGCAATTTTCCTCAAACCTTGTCATGATAGAATTGCTTTGGGAGTTTTTGAAGTCAGGCCTATGACTTTTGTTGTTACAAAAGCAACCTTACTAAAACCTTCTTTAAATTCATTGTCCTCAGATTTTTCAATTTTTTTTCCCAGTGATTACAGCATTTGCACAGGGAAATTAAGAGTTGTGATGTCCTAATTAGGGACATTGTTACATTAAAACTAAGTAATGATGCTCTTTGGAATATTAGTGTATTTGATTCCCATTGTTTCTCCTTGTGCTTTGATTCCAGCTCCAGCAGAAAAAGCAGCTCCCAGTGAGAAGCCCTCAAGCACAGCCCCTGCGGATGCACACGAGGAGTTTGTGGATGATTTCAGGGTCGGGGAGCGCGTTTGGGTCAATGGAAACAAGCCAGGCTTCATCCAGTTCCTGGGGGAAACGCAGTTTGCCCCGGGGCAGTGGGCAGGGATTGTCCTGGATGAGCCCATCGGGAAGAACGATGGCTCGGTGGCTGGAGTTCGCTATTTCCAGTGTGAGCCCCTGAGGGGAATATTCACAAGGCCATCCAAACTGAGCAGGAAAGTGCTGACAGAGGACGAAGCCAATGGTACCCAGACAGCTCATGCTTCCAGAGCCACCTCCCCAACATCCACATCAGCTGCTAGTGCAGTGTCCTCATCCACTGCTGCACTTCCCCCTTCAGGAATTCCACAGAAATCCCCCCTTGCTGCTAAGGAACATGCAACTCCTTCTCAGATTAGCAATCTTTCCAAAACTGCCAGTGAATCTATATCAAACCTCTCGGAAGCTGGATCACTAAAGAAAGGAGAAAGGGAGCTCAAAATAGGAGATCGAGTGCTGGTAAGATTTCCCTGTTTGCTTTTGACTGATTAATTAAAACTTCTGCTAATATTCAAAACTTTTCTGCCATTTCCTTGGTCAAGATAACAGAAATTTATGCTCTAGCTTTCTTTGTCTAGTGTCTTCTGTAAACAAGCTCTTTGCATGCTGTGGGAATGTCTTGGCAGTACCAAGATAAAATGGTTATTTTGGCAGGTTTTAATCTGTCATGTTTTACTGCTGTTTAAAACACAACATTGTGTTTAACAACATATTTGTAGCTTATCTCTCTGTATCTTAAAGAGCTCCAGTCGTGCTAAATAAAAACCAAGCATGTGAGATTTCCATGTAGGTCTTCTGCCCTGTCCAGGGCTGTGTCTTTAGAAAGCAAATTCTTCAATAATTGATTGTTCCTGGGTGGTGATAGGCAGGAACAGAAGCAGTCACATAATGCCACTGATCAGCCAGGAATTATGTGTGCTCTTGGGGATGTGCCACATTACTTGGCTGCCCTTCCTGAATTCAGACCCCTAAATGCTTCTGCCAGTGTATCATCTCACCTTTTTAAAAGTTGCTCTGTTCGTTTTAACATTTTTTTAAAATTATTATCAGAAAATTGGTGGTAGGTAATGTTATATTCTTAATTTAAAGACTGTTTATATAGCATTTATATATAACTGGAATGATCCTTGTATGCTCACCAGATCTATGATCACTGTAATAGAACCCTGATTTACTCAAGTGAATCATTAAGCCAAAAATTTCTCTTTCTCTTATTTTGACACAATCTTTTCTTACTTATGATATCATTTTAAAATTTTCATTTGGCAGGTGTGAATATCCTGGCATAGAAACTTCTCTGGGGTTACTGTAAGAATATTTTATAGGAAAAAATCCCCTGGATTTTATTGTTTGTCCTGCATTGCTCCACCAGAAAATAATTCTGCAGTGAAGGCAGGTTGATGATTTAATTAAGTTTATTGTATTTTTGAAGGAAGAATTTGCCTTCTCTTTCTGTTTAAGAAGAGCTTAAAACACACAGGGCCAAGTTGAAGAAGGAGACAAAGGTGAAGTGAGGGCAGGGGTTGGCTGACAGCTGGATTTGGGCTGAGATGTGTTTTCTTGGAGTGCCAATGGAAACAAAGATTTGTGGTTTATCCTTGGCTATTTCTGTCAGAGACTGAGCCCTGTTGTCCTCCAGACAACATCAGGGCTTTAACCTCTTGTTTGCCTTTTCCTCAAGGACCTTTGTGAGCCCTTCTGGGATGTCCCTTCTGGGAGAATCCTTTGGTGCTGTGAAGGCATTGCTCTGCCTTCCCTGTGTCTAATTAGTGCAAATTGCAGAAGCAGCATATCCTAAGTGCCACAGTTTGATAATAATAAGGTCCCAAATTGTTAAGTAGGACAAGTTAAACTTAATATTTCATCCTCTCTACTACCTCTGTTTGCCTAAAGTCTTCCTCATGAGTCATCAAATTGTAGTTTGAGGTTTTGGGGTAATTCCTAGCACAGTATGTTGGTGATGCATAACTATAATTTCTATACCAGTATAAGACACTCAGGAATGTGAATTTTAAAGGGGTAGGATCCTTCTTTACTCTTTTTCAATCCTTTGGGATCCCATGCTAATTATTTGTAGTAGATCCCAGACTCTGCTGTCATGTCTAATAATAATTTAGATGTAAATATCTTACGTGGCCAGGTTAGTTCTAATAATCCTGAGCTTGGCTGAATAATTGATTCATCTGTTAATATATTTTTCCCTGACACTGAACTCCTGTTCAGCACTGAGCTGTAGAGTTGAGGTGTCACTGAGTAATTCTGGGAGCTGTCCTCAGAGGCAGCAACCAGTTGTTGGGAAAGACCTGGCTGTCACTTGTGTCACTTGCTCAGCCATTCCTGCTCCATCAGAGGGACAAATCCACCCGGCCTGCTCCTGGTCTTGGGTTTTTCTATGCTCACAGCAGTCCCTTTTCAGTAATACTTCCACAAGACGATGAAGGGCTGGGTGGATGTTGCCAGTCCCACCTCAGCACAGAATTTCCCCTCTAAGTGACAATGTGGTGTCACAGCCTCATGATGTGTTCCAGTCTGACCACAGCACTGCAGTTCTTGCAGCTTGCACCAACTGCTGTGAGTATTTTGTGAGGGTTTTTTGGTGATTATGGACGAGAAGAAAACAGCTGTGGGGAATTACAGTTTGAGAACAGGGAGCCTCCAGCAGCGTAGAACTGCAGTTCAAAATAATGAATTCATGATAGACAAAAGCTCATTTGGGAGTCTTATTAACACAGCTAATTGGAAAATGACATCCTGAAGGGCAGATTCATAGATGGGTAAGGCACAGCTCATCAGCCAAGATTACATTCCAGAATGGACATCAGATGGCCTCAACTTTATTGATCTTCGTGTGTGATCTCAGGGTGTGGAGTGTTACACTGAAGTATTTCAGTCTGTTCTTTTTTTTCCCCTCTAACTAGGATTCTGAAATGTCCTTATGGGAGTAACCTTGAGTGGATCAGTTAAATTACTTTAAGTTTCTTTTTATTGGTGGTAACTGGCTGGCTTTGGATTATTTCAACAGAAAAAGGCAAAATCTTGCAGCTCTTTTTGTCTGCCCAGTCTGGAAGGAACAAGAGGCCACTCAGACAGTGTTTACTAATTCACATCTCAACTTTTTATGTTACACAGATGCAAATTGGGCACAAGTTTGAACCTGAAATGTTGGGTTCAATTTCAGGCTTTCCCAGCAGCTTTGTTGGAGCATTCTCCTGTTCCTGCAGAGATGTTAATACTGCTCGTCTCCAGGAAAGGAAGCTGTCACTCCTCACTTTGCTTCTGCATTGTCCCAGCAACCTGCTGCCTCGGTGGTGCTGGGATGAGGTGGTTTCATTAAAGGCTGTTAGGAGCAAAGAAGTCTTGAGGAGGTGATTAAAGCTCCAGTGTGTGGCCTGTATTGTTTTGTGTGGAGAGAAAATATGCCTTAGGCTTTTTTTCTTATTCCTTTGATCTCCAGTCTTCTGTATATTTTAAGTCCTCCCAAACTTCTACAGGAGAACGAATATTTTCAAAATATAAAGGGTTAGTAATAAAGGAAGCTTCCAGTGAATATATTATTTGATTGTGATGACAGGAACCCTTTCCTTAATTTCCTTAATTCAGATAACATTAGGAAGAATAGTGGTTTACATACAGATTTGGGACACTTATTCAGAGTTAAAGAAAAGATATTCCAGAGAAGTAAAAGAAAGAAAGTTTCCAGAGGAGAAAAAAAAACCCCAAAAAAACAGGGAAAAGAAATACTAGAGAAAATAAATTCCACTGCAAAAAACAAGTAGAGCTGTGAGATGATCACTGTGTATTCTCAACCCCAGGCTTGCTCAGAGCATCTCATGTGAGGTTGTGCAGAATAGTGCTATAGATACAAAGAGACAAAACAAGCAGCCTCGCTTTTTCAGGGGGCAGAAAAACCTCTTTTCCCAAAAGACCTTGGATATTAAAAAGACATTGACATCAAAACAGACAGTGCTTCAAGGTATTGGATATGTCAGCTGTGGGTGCCTGCAGAAAAATCTTACAACGATCAGCTACAACCTCTCCTGGTTTTTCCCCTCAATTTGAAGAAGACATTTCCAGGCCATTAAATTGAGTTGTAAACATCAGAAAAATAACTCATGGTAGACATCAATGCCTGTAAGGGAAATATAATAATTGTGGAGAAATTCCCATTGTACTCTTGTCTTAGAAGTTCTCTTCCTTGAGAATGCAGAGGAGTAAAAGCAAATCAAAAACCAGTCAAACTGAGTGAATACTCACTGAAGTATTCACTGAAGTATTATAGCCCTAAATAGATGTTCTAGTGGAAAAGGACCTTTAGATTTCTGTAGTTTACTCCTCAAAGATGATTAATTGAAACAGCACCCTGTGCTCTGCTGTCTTGGGAATCTGATGATAAATCTGTCTCCCTCAAATCCCAGTGTATCTGAGCCATGTTCAGCAAGTTTGTGCTCAATTTTCCTTTCACTAACAAGAAACCAACAATACCTTGTGATAGTATTTGGAAATGTTGAAAAATATAGGTAGATAAGTTAGATATATCAAAGAACTGTGGTTTATTATGTGTAATTCACTATTCAGCTTTTCATTTGGTGCATTGATGTATCTTTTACTGAATAAAAATAGGGCTAAACCAAAGAAGAATTACTAATACAAAGAGTAATTCAAACAGCTCTGCATTAGGCATAATTTCCATTCTTAACATATGATGTATGTTCTGGAATCTGGATGTAATTTAACAGCTCGAATGTTAACTCTGGACAGCCTGATCTTGTATTTGGAGATTCTGTAACACAGGAAAATTGATGTGGAAATCTGCACTTCCTTCACTGTCCTCATCCAGCCTTTCTGGGGTTAATGATACCGTGCCAGCACTGCAGTTGATTTTTCTGCTGAAAATCAGGTTCCAGCTTTAGCATTTGAACCTGCTCTGAAGAAGAATTTCTGTGCAATAAGTGCCAGTGGAAATGCTGTGCTCGGTGCTAAACCAGATGGGGAAAGAACAACAGAAAACCAATTCAGAAAACAAATTACTTTCAGGCTCAGCCAGTTCGGGTTTCCTGTTTGAGTTGTGGCCAGAGAACCTGTTTGCCCTGGTGTTGCACACTTAGGATTTCTTAAGAGCCCAGTGCAAAGTTGATTTTAAAAACAAACAAACAAACCCCCCTGAACTACCAAAACAAAACTTGTTAAAACAGGGATCTGCTTCATGTGACAACTGTTGCCTGTACTAAAAGTTGAAGCAGCTTTGACAGGGTTGCTGGCTTTCCCCTGAAGGGACCAGATGCTGTATTTTAAATAAATAAATAAAAATCTTATCAACCTAAGGGGCCTTAGCCTTCTCAAGGGATTAAAGTGCTTTCATTCATTTAACCAGTTACAGCTTCATCACAGTCTGCCAAATCTGCTGCTTCGGGGGCTGAGCCGTAAAGCCGGAACTCGGCCTCCGTCCATATGTTCACAAA